ATCGAGCCCACAACCCAGCTGTGTGACCTGACAGGGAATCAAACTGTGATCTCCTGAATTATAGGTCGATACTCAACTGCCCTGCCGCACTTGATCCTTAAGTTCCTGCAGCAACCTTTTCTAGCAGGACTACAACTCCCAGCATGCACCAGTTTCCTTCTTTCCCAGACTGTCTACAGATCAGCCCTGACTGCAGGCATCTATATTACCTCTTCCATGTCAAATTCATTATTCCCCGTCACTTCCCAGGTAGACTCATACACAGCTCTACCTTTAGACACACGTCTGGACAAGTCTTGACTATGTATTATTTTACTTGTTGGCCTTGTTCCATGATCTACAGCACAGTCCTACCTGCTCCCCAAACAATGGCAGCAGTGTGTACTTGCCACCCATGGACTGCAGAGTTCCAGTGTGCAGAGCTTCATTCCCTGCACTGTGTCCCAGGGCAGGGCCACAGGCAAGATGTGCCAGTGGGGAATGGTGTGCTTCCTGATTTTAAGGATCTGAATGACTCAGTGCTTGGTGGGAAAGGGGTAGTTCAGAAGATTGAGGAGAGTCTATTTTCCTGGGACACACATTCTAATAGGTGGGAGACACAGGTACTCTTCCCAGTGGACCCCAGTCTGAGGGAGACACAAGACCCACACCTGAGGGAAGAACAGGAAGCAGATATCTCCTTCCTCCAAGAAAGATTTGTAGTAAGCCAACAGAGAGGTCAAGGGGTACTGGCTCCCTGGGAGGATGCTGTACCATCAGTCCTCCTGCCACTCCCCACAGACGTTTCTATGACTCAGGAGCCATCATGCTGAGGGAGGAAGCCACGGTCCTCACTGGGATGCTGATAGGACTGAGCGCCATAGACTTCAGGTGGGGTCTGGGTGTCGGTGGCAGTGGCCCTGGTGGTGGTGGGGTGTCCCCCCGCGAATGTCCACATCCCATCCCTTCATTGCCGCCTCCACCCTTGTGGGTTCTCTGCCCTCAGCTTCTGCCTAAAGGGTGAAGTGCTGGACGGCAAGACCCCCGTGGTCATCGATTACACGCCCTACCTAAAGTTCACCCAGAGGTGAGAAGCCGGACTGCTGCAGTGGGCGCCGGAAGGGGCGGGGGTGGC